TTGGGATGGTTGGGGACAGACACTGTCCAGAGGGGTGCCGATGCTGGCGGCTGATTTTCCAGGCTAAGGAGGGGCTGGGCCAGGAGGCGGTGGAGCTGGGCTTGGTCGGGCTCAGTGACAGGGAAGGCCTCGTACCACCTCCAGGATCTTTGTCAGACTTCTCAACCCCGAGCGTGCTCTGTGTTGGGTACAAAGTCACGAGCACTAATTGTCCTGGGCCGAGGCCAGCTTCCTGCTGAGCTGGCTGTGTGCAGACCTGCAGCCTGTGGGGCGGGGGTTGGCCAAGGCGGCCCCGGGAGCAGAGGCTTATCTGGCTTCACTGGGCCCCTTGACAAGGTGATTGTTTATCCCACAGTGGACATCAGACGAGGACTCACCCAGGGCCTACACCCCCCTGCCTCTCTGGTGGCCGGCTTGGGGTCACCCCAGCCACAGTGGTCTGGGACCTGGAAAGGACAGGCAGGCAGGAGGCTGGAGGGTATGGCGGGCCGTTCTGTGCTCTCAGGCCCCCTCCTCTCCCATAGCATTCACTTCACACACCCACCCTTGGTGCCAGAGCTGTTCCTGAGATGCACACCCAACCCTACCGCTTTTGCTCTAAATCCTCCTGTGGCCCTGGGGCCAAGCCCAGGCCATTCAGCAGATGCAGGGTCTTTCACCAGGAGCTGGCCCTGCCCGCTCTGCAGCTCTGACACCCACGCCTCCTCCCCCAGGTGCTCTTGGACAAAGGCCTCTCGTGCCTGGCCTTTGAGTCCCTTGCCTGGAATGCTTCCCCACCTCCCACTGTGACCCATGTCATCCTTTCGAGGGAGCCTCCCGGCCAGCCCTTCCCACGTCGGGTCACTCCTCTTCGGTCCTGGGCACTGGGTTTGTTTTCGTTTGCTCCCCTGCCTGCCCTGCACCTCCAACATGGGATCCTCATCACAGGCATCTCTGTGTCTGCAGCTGGGGGCCTCGGCGGGGGTTGTTGATTGTGTGAATGAGTGGGGTGAATAAGCTGGGGCCAGTGAGTGGGTGAGGGGACAGACCAGTAAGTCACAGCTCAGTCTGACTAAGAACGTGTCATAACCAAGAGCCAGAAGGCGGCACAGAACCCCTTGGGAGGGAGTGAGACTCCCGTCACAGGAGGTATGCAGGCAGACCAGTCAGGAATCCCTGGAGTTTGTGTTAAAACTGAGATTCCTCGCCTGACCGCAGGCCTCCTGAGTCAGACCCTCAGGGCACCCAGGAGCCTGCATTTCTTACACACGGCCCTGGACACGGGCCAGATGAGCCCCAGGTCCTCTTTACATCTGAGGTTCTACTTTCGGACGCCCTCGGCCATCCTTGATACCTGGGTCTCAGCCAGGCTCGCCCTGCCCTTCCTGGGTTCTGCCATGCCCAGCACCAGCCTTTACCCTCAGCTCCTCCCTCACCACAGGCCCTGCTACCGGGGGGAGAGGAGGCAGCGCCTGGAGCTCATGTAACACACAGGCCCTTGGCAGCTCCACAGACTCTACACGGACAGAGGGGCCTATGTGGCCAGGTCCGGGAAAAGGCCGGTGACGATCCGGCCTTGGAGCTAAGGCAGTTGAGGGGTCCTCTGTGCTCCCCATGCCCCAGAAGCCTTCTCCCTAGTCGTAGCTCCCTGTGGCATGGGCTCTGAGGGCCTTTCTGTGCCACTGTAAGCTGGCACGGAATTGAATCTGACCATTTCCAGGGCCTGCCTGGGTGCGGGGTGGTATCGTGGCTGTGGAGAAGGAGAAAGGTTTGCTGTGAATCCTGCCCTTGGAGCAGAGCCCAGCAGAGACAGGGGCGCTGAGGAGCACAGGAGAGAGGCTGGGCCGGGCCACTCACCCTGGAGGGCCACAGACTATTGGAGTGTGAGGCCCAGATTCTGCAGGGCGGACCCCTCTTCATGCCCTCCCCTGGTACATCGTGCCCTCACCATCCTCTAGACATGTCTAAAATGTGTGCACATCACCCTCCCACTCAGGACCCCAGCACAGCATCCCCCACCCACGGCAGCATCACGGCGCACGTCCCAAGCTGGCCGGCTGTGCAAGCCTCTCCTGCCTGGCGCTGCGCTTCAGACACCTCTGGGGCCACGTCCCAGACCATCTTATCCCACCTGCTTTTCACCGGGGCCTGCCCCCTCTGCAGCTTTGTGGCTCACCGAGTCCCTCCTTACCCCAGGCCCTGCGGTCGTGGACACATCAGCCCCTCCCTCCAGGCCTCGCCGCCTCTTCCTTCCCCTCCTCACTATCCTGAAGCCCCCTCTGAGCCCTGGGCAGCCACGGTCCTCCCCTCGCCCTGTGTGGTCAGTGTTGTGGTCATATAATTCTGTCTCTTTGTTCCCAACACAGAATCTCAGAGTGCGGAGCAGTGGGGGAACCGAGTTCTTCACTCGGTCGGCAACCAAGTTCAAGGGTGCCCTGGCCCAGAAATTCATGTTTGTGGATGGAGACCGGGCTGTGTGCGGCTCCTACAGGTGACTCTCGGCTTTCAGGGAAGTTGCGGGAGCAGTACCTCTGGTTCCCAGCTGGCTTCTGTCCTTCATCCTGACTTATGACACTCTGGTTATTCCGGTTCATTGGTCCCAAGGCTGCTGAGGTATGCGCAGGCCTGGGGCACCCCTGCCTGCCCACCTGTCTCTGGAGGCAGGCAGAGAAGGGCTTCGTCTGAGGACGCTGTTGTCCCAGCTTGGACATGTTGCCAGCCTGGAGGTGGGGTGTGGCTAGGCCAGGCCGTGCCTTTGCAAGCCTAAGGGGTCGCTCTGAGAGCCGTCCTCAGGGATGAGGCCAGCTCTGTGGGGACCAGCCCACGGGCATGGGGAGGGGGCTGCCCATGGTTACATGGGGGTTGGTGGCAGCCTAGACACCTGGCAGCAGCAGCCACCACATGCGGCACCACACATGGTGTCCAGGGCCTTCCCAAGCTGCTTAGCAAATCCTACACCAGCCAGAGAGGAACACAGTGCCATGCCATTTGCAGAGGCAGGAATGGGCTCTGTGTGTCCGACCTGCTTGACATCCCAGCCTCAGTCTGACCCTGCAGCATGTCCCTGCCCTCTGCCCCCATTCACTTCTTGATCCCAGGGCCCTGTAGCTACCATCTGAGGCTCAGCAGCAGCGGTGCACGGGCCAGGGGAGGAAGCAGGGCCCTGTGCCTGACCAGTGCCCCTCCCTCTGTTGCAGCTTCACGTGGTCGGCCGCGCGGACGGACCGGAATGTGATCTCCGTGCTGTCTGGCCAGGTGGTAGAGATGTTTGACCGGCAGTTCCAGGAGCTGTACCTCATGTCACACAGCGTCAGCCTCAAGGGCATCCCCATGGAGAAGGAGCCGGAGCCAGAGCCTATCGTGCTGCCCTCTGTGGTCCCCCTGGTGCCTTCGGGCACTGTGGCCAAGAAGCTTGTCAACCCCAAGTACGCACTGGTCAAGGCCAAGAGCGTCGACGAGATTGCCAAGATCTCCTCTGAGAAGCAGGAGGCCAAGAAGCCCCCAGGGCTGCAGGGCGCAGTGTTGGCCGAGCACCCAGGGGATCTCCCTGAGCTGCCGCCACCCGTCCACCCGGGGCTGCTCCACCTGGAGAAGGCCAACATGTTTGAGTACCTGCCCACGTGGGTGGAGCCAGACCCGGAGCCTGGCAGCGACATCCTGGGCTACATCAATATCATTGACCCCAACATCTGGAACCCCCAGCCCAGCCAGATGAACCGCATCAAGATCTGTGACACCTCCCAGGCCAGCGCCCAGCACCAGCTGTGGAAGCAGAGCCAGGACAGCAGGACCCGTCCAGAGCCTCGCCCTCCCCAAGAGCCTGGTGTCCCCCAGTACGGTATCCCAGCTGAGAACGGCCTCCCCCAGGGGGACCCTGAGCCATTGCCCCCCATGCCCAAGCCGCGGACAGTCCCTGTGGCAGACGTACTAGCCCAGGACAGCAGTGGTATTGGCTGGGCCCTGGAGACCCCCAAAGAGGAGGCTCCCCAGAATGGGACAGACCACGGGCTACCCAGGACGGCAGGCCCAGGCCACACCCTGCTCCAGCGGCAGCTATCTGTGACCCAGGATGACCCTGACGGCCTAGGGGTGGGGCTCCCCAATGGGCTGGATGGGGCGGAAGAGGAAGATGATGATGACTACGTAACCCTCAGTGACCAGGACAGCCACTCAGGCAGCTCCAGCCGTGGCCCTGGGCCCCGGAGGCTCTCCGTGGCCTCTTCCTCAGTGTCAGAGGAGTACTTCGAGGTGAGAGAGCACTCAGCCCCTCTTCGGAGGCGCCACTCAGAGCAGGTGGCCAATGGGCCAATCCCGCCACCACGCCGGCAGCTGAGTGCCCCCCACATAACCCGAGGGACCTTTGCTGGACCCCTGGGTGGCTCCCCGTGGGCCCAGAGTCGGGGGAGAGAAGAAGCTGACTCGTCGAGGAGGATGCAGGCCCAGCGCTCCACAGACAAGGAGGCACAGGTAGGTCCGGGTCCCGCACACCAGCCACCCAAGAGTCCGAGCTGCTGTCTTCTGGGCGCCAATGACTTCAATTCCCTTGTTATGGATGGGGAAACTGAATAACAGGCAGGATGGGAACCGCCCAGGGCCATATGGAAGGCCATCATTAACACGGGGGACTCTCGGTCCCAGAGGCCTGAAAAGGCAACCTAAGGAAATGCACATTTCCCCACCCCGAGGCCTCAAATGCCTGTAGTTAGTTAGAGGATCTTGATGGCACCTGCCAGGTGGGTGGCACAGTCCCCACTTTGCAGATGAGGAAACGGCGGGGCACAGGGACGTTCATTTATAGCCTGAGGTGACACAGCAGTAAGCGATACCTGTCCTGACCTTGTGCCAGGCCACATCCATGCCAATCCCTTTGATTGTGGGCCCAAGGCACACTCTCCCCACTGCCCAGGTTGGGGAGCAGTTCACATCTATCCTTCACCTCTCCTCCTAGTGACCTTTGCAGGACAAGGACCCAGAAGCCTGGGTGCCCTGCAGCCTGGCTCAGTGCCCGGAGCCCATCCTACCTGGGAACAGCGCACGGCTGATCATTCCTGGCATGATGATCAGGACCATGGGGAGCATCTTGAGGTAGCTGGCCAGGATGGAGCCCGCCTTGGCATGGTTCAGGTCCCGGGCCGACAGTGACCGCTGCACGATGACCTGGGGTCAGAGTGTGAGAGGGAGTGAGTCCGAGCCTGAGGGACGCTTGTGTCAGAATTGGTCCTTGGTGGGCCTCAGGGAGTGGGCATGAGGCACGATGATGTCCCATTAGCCCCCGACCTGCCCAAGACAGCCACACTCAAACCCTGATACTGTCAGCAACCACCAGGAGAGCTTGCTCTGGCAGGCCAAGCAGCAGGAGCCAAGGTACACTCACTCCCAGGGACTCTGTCCCTGTACCTGTCAAAAGAGGAGGTGTGATCCTGCCCAGCCCACCACGCTTGGCAATTGTCAGGGCTAAAGGAGACCCTGAGTGGGGTGGTCTCGGGGACGCCACACCCCTATCCTCATCTCCTGGACAGCAGCTGGCATATTCATGGCACCAGGAGCAGACGTTGGAGCCAGCTGTGTGTGCCTGGCTGGCAGAGTTCAGGAGCTTTAAGACCTGGGGTGGGAAAGCTTGCCGTTCGGGAGCAGAGGGAGGCTAGAAGCTACCTGAAGGCACCGGCCCTTTGGGAGCCTTCAGCACATCCTAACCAGGCCTTTCCAGATTCGTAGGATGGGAGGAGGGAGCAGTCATTTGGATCCATAGTGTCTGAGATCCTCCCAGCTCTGATATTAAGATTCTACTTCAGAAGAGTTACTTTTCAAGCAGCTTTATTGAGATATTCACACACCATAGAATTCACCGACCTGAAGTGTACACTCCCATGGTTTTTAGTGTGTCCACAAAGTTGTATGACCTACGACTCTGAAACACAGGTTTTCCTTTGCGGTTCCACAGTTTAAGTCACCGCCTGCAACTCAGAAGCAGGAAGCCTCCGTGATTTTAACTTATTTTCCAAGCATGCTGGTTTACCAGAGAGCTCCCAGCATTTGCCCCTAAGCTGTGGATGTTGAGGAAACATTGATTACAGAGGCTGGGAGGGCCTGCAGGCTGCGGCCTCTGGGGGCAGGGCAAGCTGCTGTCCTTCCTGCTTCTCTGCCAACTTGTGGTGACGTGGGACAAGTCCTTGCCTCAGTTTGGGCCTCAATTGCCCCGTCTGGACAATGACCAATGAGAGAGTTAGGGGCCGGGTACAGTGGTTCACGACTGTAATTCCGCCAAGGCAGGCGGATCACGAGGTCAGGAGTTCGAGACCAGCCTGGCCAACATGATGAAACTCCATCTCGACTAATGACACAAAAAATTAGCCAGGCATGGTGGCAGATGCCTGTAATCCCAGCTACTCGGGAGGCTGAGGCAGGATAATCACTTGAACCCGGAAGGCAGAGGTTGCAGTGAGCTGAGATGGTGCCACTGCACCCCAGCCTGGGTGGCAGAGTGAGACTCCATCTCAAAAAAAAAAAAAAAAAAGAGAGAGAGAGTTAGATGGTGGTTCTCTCTAGGTGCTTGGGAGAGCAGCATTTCTCCACGACCCTGCATGTCTTTCTGCCTTTGGTGGGATATTTGCCTCCATATTTCAACTTGTGCCCATGGCAGCTGGGCCTGGGACAAGTGCTGTCACCCCAGGTGGAGACGCTGAGGCTGAGTTTCCATGAGCTATGAGGCCTGCCAGTCCTCCTGAATAGGTCAGAGGCTCTCCCCACCCCCGAGTGTCAGACAGCAGGGCTGCGTCCTCCCCTCAGATGTCAGCAGGCCATGGCTCACCGCCCCCCCCACAGCACTGGCGTCCAGCCCCAGCCAGGCCCTCTTCCCTGAGGAGGTCAGCACCCACTCCCTGAGTGGCCATTTCACCTCAGGCCCCTCATCTGCAGAAGGAGGAGTGTTGTTGAAAGGACTTAGGTGGGGCTGCTCGTGTAGCCGGCCACGCCTTGCCTGGCTCCTCCAGCGCCTCCAGTGAGTGCGAGGTCCCTTTCTCAGTGAGTGAGTTTTGGGGTGTGGCCATCGGAGTCAGCACGCTGTCCACAAAAGCTGTGGTTGCTGTTATGATGGAGGCAGCTGCTGCTGACTAAGGGAAGACACCCGGGCTGGAGCTGCAGCATCAGCAGGTGACAGAGCTGGCATGACCCCGGGGGGCCTTCTGGTCTGTGCACCGCCCTGTTTCACAGACAGGGACGCCAAGGCCCAGGGAGGGGCAGGGACAGAGCCCAGACGGGAGCCCAGGCCAGAGGTCTGCCCACTGGACCCTCTGCCTCTTTGTCACTGGGTTTTGTTTCTGGTTAGAAAAATGCCACCTACTTGTGGATGGATAGATGAGCCAGAAGATAGAGAATGGCCCACGCCTGGAATCCCAGCATTTTGGGAAGGCGGGCAGATTACTTGAGGTCAGGAGTTTGAGACCAGCCTGGCCAACATGGTGAAGCCCTGTCTCTACTAAAAATACAAAAATTAGCCGGATGTGGTGGCATGTGCCTGTAGTCCTAGCAACCTGGGAGGCTGAGACAGGAGAATCACTTGAACCCAGGTGGCAGAGGTTGTAGTGAGCCGAGATTATGCCACTGCACTCCAGCCTGGGTGACAGAGCGAGACTGTCTCAAAAAGAAAAAAAAAAGAAAAAAAGAAAAACACCCCTATGGTCTCAGCACCCAGAACTACTGCCTCCCTTCTGACTAGACTGGGGGGGTCCTGGAGGGCTACCTTGGCCACAGAACAAAGTGGAGTCAGACCTCTAGGTGTCCCCAGAAGCCCCAATGTTAGTGAGCACCACACAGAGACCAGGAACTGCAAGCAGGACTAGTGCGTGTGCTTCTGGACGAAGACTAGGCGTCCGCCAGGCAGACCCAGCCCGAGGGGAGGACGATGGGAATCAGGGCAGAGGCCAGGCTGCAGCTCCAATGCTGGCCGGTGCCCTGGACCACCTGGGGTCAGCGGCATCCCTCCCTCACCTCCCTGTGTGATCCTTTCTGGGCCTTGGGCTCCTCATCTGTGCAGTGGGGCCCGCCCAACCCTGACCCTAAGGCCAGGACATGTGCAGATTCATTTTGCCTTGATGGGAAAATCTCCTAACCGATGTTGCACCCAGAGATGCCTGTGCCAGGCCAGGCTCATGCTGCATCGGGAAGAGGTGGGAGGTGGCCAGGGTAAAGGGGCTCAGCCTGGCAGGGTACCACATGCCTTGTGTGCCCTCCATGGCCGACCTTTCACCAGCCCCTGGCCCACTGGGGCTGGCCTTCAGCCCTCCCAGAAGAGCTAGGCAGATGCCTGCTGTGAGCCCTGCTTGAGGACCACGTGTTATAGATGGGGAAACCGAGGCCCGGCCTCCCAGAGCTTCTGATGCTCCCAGCTGGGGCCAGTTCTTCTGCTGGAACGCAGGGAGGGTCTCTGGCCAGATACTGACCGAGCCCGTGCTGCTTGGGAGAGGAAGAGCCGAGTCAGGAGCCAGGGGAAGGTCACTCCATTCTGGGCTCAGATACAGATCTGTCTCTGGCCTCACTGCTCTGGCCTATGAATGGGGCTGGCTGGGGAGGCCACATGGGAAAGGCTTGTGTAAGCACTGTCATCATTCATTCCACAGAGCCTGGCTGTGGCTGCCTTGCTCTATAGTGGACTCCTGGGGCTGGGTCCAGAGGCGTGGATAGTCGTGGGGCCTGTGCCCACCTTTTCACAGGCCTTTTCCCACCCACACGCTCCCTGGAGCTGCCCATGGCCTTTGGGACAAGCAAAGCAAGGACACAATCTGCTTCTGCCCAGAGACAGGAAGCAGCTCATCTGAGGTCACCTGGAGGGCTGGTGACAGGGTCTTGGGGGCAGGGCCAGAGTCACCCTCCTGCACTCAACAGAAATCCCTGCACTGCCTCTGACAACTCCATTCAGCCCGTTTCCAACCACATCCAGGCCTGTGTAGGGATAGAGGAGGCCAGGGGCGTGGGCTGCGAGGAAGCTGCCTTGCTACACCCACAAAGGGCAGGATTATTCCCATATTACAGACGGGGGAACTGAGGCATAGAGGGAATAAACCAAGTGGTTGGCCGGGTGTGGTGGCTCACACCGGTAATCCCACACTTTGGGAGGCTGAGGCGGGTGGATCATGAGCTCAGGAGCTCAAGACCAGCCTGGCCAACGTGGTGAAACCCCGTCTCTACTAAAATACAAAAAATTAGCCAGGCATGGTGGCATGCGCCTGTAGTCCCAGCTACTCAGGAGGCTGAGGCAGGGGAATCACTTGAACCTGGGAGGCGGAGGTTGCAGTGAGCCCAGATGGCGTCACTACACTCCAGCCTGGCGACAAACAAACAACAAACAGAAAAACCATCGAGTGGTCTAGGCCCACTCGATGATGAATGGCAGAGCCAGGAGGTGAGCCCAGGTCTGCCGGCTCCCGTGTGGCTGGGCAGGGTCTCATGCTGGGGCAGGGTTGGCCCTTGCTCAGCTTCACTCTCCGCTCTCTCTCTCCTAGGGCCAGCAGTTCCACCATCACAGGGTCTCTGCCTCAGGGACTAGGGATAAAGATGGCCTCCCAGGACACCCTAGATACCACTCTGCTGCTGATGGCGTCCAGAGGTCTACCAGAAACGCAGGCCCAGCCGTGGCCGGCCCCCACCACTGGCACGCCAAGGGAGGCCAGGGACCCCGCCTGCTGCCAGATCCTGGCAGCCCAAGACTGGCCCGAAACGCCCGCCCCCTGACCGATGGCAGGGCCACTGAGGAGCATCCGAGTCCCTTCGGAATCCCGTACTCCAAACTGTCTCAGTCGAAGCACCTTAAGGCCAGGACGGGTGGCAGCCAGTGGGCCTCATCCGATTCTAAACGGAGGGCTCAAGCCCCCCGGGACCACAAGGACCCCTAGCAGCCTGTCCCAGCCTGGAGCCACACCTTCTGAGGGCCCAGCCCAGACTTATGGTGTAGAGGGCAGACGGGGCACCTGGGCCTGCCAGAGACCGCTGGGACAGCAGGAAGGTGGGATGGGCAGGCGACGTTGGCACTCACCTGGTCGGTGCACCAGTACCAGGTGGCCATGATGGTCAGGCCGAAGGTCATCCCGGTCCACGGCAGGTCCCCTGTGTGGGGGTCTCGAAACATGTGCATGGCGTCTGCACGCGGCAGGTGGCAGGTGGTATTGGCAATGGTCCTGGAGGGAATGGCCCGGGCGTAGGCTGCCTCCAGCTCCCCGTAACCGCCGATCTGGTCAAAAGCTGGAGGGGTCAGGATGGGACAGGGACGGTTTGGTGTTTGGGCTCCCGTGTGCCTGGGCCCTGACTCCCTGGGCTCCCTTTGCCTTCATCTCACGAGAAACTTCCAGATGCATCAAGCGTGAGTTTTCCCACCTCATCGTTTCCAGTTTGGAAAGGTGTGACGGTAGAGGGTTTTTTTTAAAAGGTGAATTTGAATGACTATTTTATTTGTATTTAAAATAATACTATTAAGTGAGCATTTTGCACATGGGCACCCCAGGGTCCTGCTGGCCCGGCAGGAGTCCCTGCTGGTTTCTGGACACCCATCGGGCCTTGGGCAAAGCTTCTCAGCCAGGTTTCCGATTGTCGATTCAAGGAAGCAAAAGTAGTTTTTCTTGGCATTCAAAGACCTTCCTGAGGCTTCTAAAGTGTTCATCCTGACCCGGGGCACTTGAAGGGTGTGATTTTAGCAGAGCTGAGAGTGGTTGGTGATGATGTGGCCCCAGCCCCCTGAGGCACAGAGAAGGGAGACAGAGGTCAGAGAAGGAGGGGGCCTCCACCAAGGCCACACAGCCCTTCTGGTGGGGTCAAGCCCAGAACACCTCACTGTCCTGTCTACCTCGGGGTCAGGGCCCTGCACGGCCAAGCCCTGGCCTGTCTGTGTTGATGTCACCCACCTCCCTTCCAGGCTGCGCCTGGCTGCTGGGATCCCTCTCAGGCGGTGGGTTCCAGGGACACCAGAGCCCCTGGTCTGAGAGGGAGAAGCCTGGATGTGGGAAAACCCCTGTTCCCACCCCAGGCCCCACTCCCTGGTCTTTTCCAAGTGGGACATGGAAGAGGTAGCCTGCTGCTTGGACGCTGGTCCCCCCGGCATCACTGTCCCCATGGAGCCCAGGCCAGGCTCTGTATTCAGACCGAGAGTTCATGTGAGGCTCACAGCAAATGACAAGTGCCATTCAAGGGTTAGAAACTGCTCAACCACAGGGTCTCTGAGTCTGGACGCGTCTCTGCGGCCCTCCTCCTGGCGCTGCTTACATACTTCCAGTGACGGTGAGCTCACTCTCCGGGCAGCCCTGTGAGCTTCCTGTCTGTTCCAGACTAGTGTCACCACTCTCTCCAAGCTCTCTCCTTTCCTCCCTAGCCTTTGTCCTGCAGCGGGTAGCATCGGCTCTTGGGATTTTGTCCATGCTTTTAAACAATTGGAGGAGCCGCCCAGGCAGTTTTGAGGTCTCCCGGTTGTGTGCCTCACACCCGCCTCCAGCCCCACCTCACCAGCAAGTGCTGAGCCAGTGCGGGTGTGGCTGGCCCTGAGTTCCTGAGTCAGCTCCTTGCCAGGGCCAGAGCTGGTAACAGCAGGGCAGTGGGGTGGGTAGCCTCTACCAGCCAGGGCAGTCCCTAGGGGGGCAGCAGGGGGCTGACTGCCTAGTGGCTCAACCTCCTGAGCCTACCCACCCCAGCAATGCCACCCAGAGCCCCGATAGCAGGAATCCTGCAGAGTGCTGGGCAGTGCCAGACTCCACAGGGCTGGCTGTGGGGACAGCCCCGCCGCGGCCACAGACCCTATCCTCACCTTTGACCGTCAGGATGATAGCCCCCACCACCATGATGAGTGTCTGCAGGGCATCCGTGTAGATGACAGCGGCCAGGCCCCCTGCAGGTGGAAGCAAGGTTGCTGGGGGGGCCCTGGGACCAGGGAGGAGGGGCGCGAGGAGGGACTTCCAGGGCTCCTGCTGGGGCCACCCCCGGGCTGCTCCCTCAGGCCTGTAGGGGGAAGTGGCCTTCTGTCCCCTTTACGTGTCCCCCGGCTGGACTTCCCTGCTGTGGGTGCCATACCTGCGATGGTGTACAGGGCCGTGATGGCGAGCGTGAGGACGGTGGAGAGGTAGAAGTTCCAGCCCAGGCAGATGTGCACAAACAGAGCCCCCGCGTACAGGTCCAGCTGCGGAGGGAGAGGACCTTGTGTACAGCTGAGGTCGCTGTTAGACCCAGGGCTCCAACAAGCCATTCCCTGGGTGACCTCAGGCAGGGCCCTCTCTGGGCCTCATTGGCCTGTGGATGAGAGGATGAGACCCCCACTCGCCTGCCTGCATCTCGGGGGCCATTGTGAGGCTGGAGGAAGAACTGGCCATGGAGAAGCTGCAGGCTGCGTGCAGATGTCAGGGACGCTGCTGTTACTAATAAAGCCAAAACGGCCAACGCCCTTCCCGAAAGCCGCGTTGTTATTGAATCTGGCCTCTTCCCCAGGGATTGAAAGGTGGAGCCCTGTCCCCTCAGTTCCCAGGGGGTCCTTGATGAGTTTGTGAGGAGTCTGAAGACCAGCAGGTCTCAGAAAACACGTGTGCTGGGGCAGCCGGGGAGCAGAGGGGCAGTAAGGCCCTCGGAGTGGCTCAGAGGCTGGATCCCAGGCTGAAGCTGGTTTCCGGACTGACTGGACACGCACAGCCCCTGCCCTCCCAGAGCCTGGGGCTGTGCCTCCTAAAGGCAGGAACGTTAGCCTGGAGGCCAGCCTCAGACTGACATGGGGTTCACGACAAGAACCCCACCCTCCGCCTGGCAGTGGGGGCCCAGAGGGAGGGAGGGCAGGAGCCCGTCCTCCAGGACTTGGGCTAGTAACAGGCTCCACCCCGCCCCACCCCTGAGATCCTAAATCTGCTGTTCTGCCTCGGCTCAGGAGATGGGAGATGACCCACACACAGCCTCTGGGGCCAAGAGCTTCCTGAGAAGGCTGGCGCCCTGCACCTCCTCAATTGGGGGCACATCTGCACACAGCCCAGGAAGTGCAGGCCCTAGGCCCCTTCCAGCTCCCAAGAGTGGAGCCTGGCTACAGGGATCCCTGCCTCCCCCAGTCCCAGGGACACCGGCCAGGCTGGGATGGGATCTGACCGCAAAGCCTGTGCTTCTGTACTCTCCCTCCGGGTGCCTCTCTCACCCTGTCTTAGCGAGACCAGCCAGTTTGGAAACTGGAGAACCATGGTCCCCTCGCTCTGGTCCTTGGCTTTGAGTGTGTGTGCGTGTGTGTGTGTGCGCGCGTGTGTGTGTGTGTGTGCGTGTGTGTGTGTGTGTGAAGGGCACGTAGTTCAGGGTAAGGTGGGATGGTGGGTGGGGCGGCACCTCCAGCCCAAGCAGAGAAGAGCAGAGGTGCTGAATATCAGAGTAGGACGCACTCTTCCAGCCCCTGCCCCATCGGACTAGAGGAGAAACTGAGGCCGCAGGAAGGGAAGGGACTTCCCCAAAGCCTGTACCTGGTAGGTATCAGATTGGAGTCGTCAGGAGAGGGAAGGCCGAGGGGGGCAGGAGGCTTCTAGAAGGCCCACGGCAGCAACCCAGAAACCTCCGTCCCACAGTCACCGCTCCGGACTCTGGCTGGACCCCGGCTGCCTCTGGGCAGAACCCGGCCCTGTGTGCCTGGCCTCCTGACCAGGACTCTGGTCATTCATCCCATGCCCAGCACTTAGCTGCCTCCAGGCCTCTGTTCACCAGCTCACCAGATTCCCTCTGTCCTGGAACATCCCAGTCTCTGCCTCTTATCTTTCAAAACAGCCATGCCAGTGCCTCTGCTCCTTGGGTACATTGCTCGTGCACCCTCCCTCCTGCCTCCCTCCTGCCTGCCCTTCCTTCCCCGGCAGTGGGCCCCAAAGACTGAAGAGAAGTCCCACAGGTGCAGGAATGGCACTGGCAGGCGTGTGGGATAGGCCTGTAACTGCTGTCCCCCCCGTAGAACTGACACGCGGCGTCGGTGAAGGTTTGCTGCTGCTACTGGAGGCCCAGCAGGTATACAGCTGCCTGCAACTCCCGGGAAGCCCTGGTGAGGAATTCAGACATCACCAAGCCCTATCCAACCCCTCCCGCGGCCCAAGCTGTCTTTTCTGTGGGCCCAGGCAGGCTTCAGCCTGACAGATGCCAAGAGTCACACGGCCCTGGCTCTGTGTCCCTGGTGCGACATGTCCCAGCCACATGGCTTTGAGCCACTTCACGCCCTGAACCTCAGTGGCCCTGATCTGTGACGTGGGGAAGTGGGTATGGAGCACCTCCGTCCCTGCCCGGGCCCCACAGCCCCTCTACTGCCTCTCCCCAGCACCGGATGCTCCCTGGGACCGTCTGAGAGGGCCAGCTCTCCTCTCTGCCTCCTTCCCTGGTGACTCAGGAGCAACTGCACAATCTTTTTTTTTTTTTTTAGACAGAGCCTTGCCCTGTCACCCATGCTGGAGTGCAGTGGCATGATCTTGGCTCACTGCGCCCTCCATTCCCAGGTTCAAGCAATTCTCCTGCCTCAGCCTCCTGCGTAGCTGGGACTACAGGTGCATGCTACCATGCCCGGCTAATTTTGTATTTTGGTAGACATGGGGTTTCGTCATGTTGGCCAGGCTGGTCTCGAACTCCTGAGCTCAGGTGATCTGCTCACCTCAGCCTCCCAAAGTGCTGGGATTACAGGTGCGAGCCACTGCGCCTGGCCCAGAGTCTATTCCAACTCCTAGAAGGCACGGATGGGGAGGTTGAGGTCCAGAGAGCAGAGGAACTTGCCCATGGAGGCAAAACTCTGGAAACAAAATCAACAAGACTATACCAGGGAACACCACCCTCCTCCACCCAGGATGGGCCACTCCTGGGGCACAGGCCGAACCAGGGCCTCGGTCCAGGCCACCACCCACAGGCCAGAGCTGTGGTCCAGAGCTTCCCGTCTGCTCCTGTGATGTTGCCCCACACTCACCCTGCACACACTGTCCTTTCCACCTCGCTGCTCCCTCCTCCCCAAGCAGGACCCCCATGATTCCTCCCTTCATTTTGTACGCAGACACCCTTCTGGCCCTTCACATCCCTGGTCATCCCCCAGGAAGCCCTGCTGACTTGCCACCTTTGACAGGGGACAAATGTGCCTGTGTGCCACATGCCGCCCTGATGTCTTTCAGGTCTCCCCCAGGGCTCATGGCACCCTACCAGGTGGGTGTGATAATCCACTCCACTCCACAGTGTGGGGCACCTGGGCATGGAGAAGTGAAACGACTTTGTCACAGTCCCACCATCCTAAGTAGGCTCCAGGGACGCACGCTTCCTGCTGGCTGGCCTCATGGCAGGGGCCCTCCCAGACAGCGCACACTGTTGGCAGCAGGCCTCTCCCGTCCTGGCACTATCCAGCCACCACTGGGGTCTGGCAGGGGCGGGAGCCCAGCACGCAGGGAGGGAGCAAGGCTGAGAGGATGCGCGGGCCATGTGGTGCAGAATGAGGCTGATCTGGTGGGCTCCCAAGCTCCCCACCAGCATGAAGGAGTCTCACTCCCTCTCCCGGTCAATGGAAACTTCACTCCAGGGCGTGTCTGAGGCTGAAGGAGGTTGGGAACCGACCCTGGGGCTCCGGCTGCCCTGGCCTGGGCCTCTGCCCTGCCCCACTGGGCCACCTTCCCTCATGGAACTTCTATCTTCCATCCCCCCACTTTTTTTTTGAGACAGGGTCTCACTCTGTCGCCCAGGCTGGAGTGCAATAGGGCAATCTCAGCTCACTGCAACCTCTGCCTCCCGGGTTCAAGCAATTCTCCTGTCTCAGCCTCCTGAGTAGCCCATTACCGGCACCCGCCACCACACCCAGCTAATTTTTCTATTTTTAGTAAAGACTGGGTTTCACCATATTGGCCAGGCTGGTCTTGAACTGCTGACCTTTTGATCCGCCCACCTTGACCTCCCAAAGTGCTAGGATGACAGGCGTGAGCCACCGTGCCCGGCTGTATCCTCCATCCTTCGTGGACCAGCAGAGAAGCTGGGCTGGGCCCTGCACTGATACTAGGCATTGACAGTGATTCCTCCCAAATATTTTTGGTGTCCTCTGCCCCACAGCCTTGCCTATTTCCATGGAGGTCATCGCCATCCTCCAGGACTCCCTTTCTTTGCCACATTCCCTGCCTCTGACCCACCGGCCGCTGCTCTGGATTCCCTCTCCAAACACACACCCACTCGCCGAAACCTCTGCTGCCCCCACCCTGGGCCCGATCCTCTTGCAAACCCCTCACTGGTCCCTCCTGCATTCAGCTTGTGCAGAGGAAAACCTAGGGTTCTGCATTTCTGGTTTTTGTTTGTTTGCTTTGAGGCAGAGTTTCACTCTTGTCACCCAGGCTGGAGTGCAATGGCGCGATCTCAGCTCACTGCAACCTCTGTGTCCTGAGTTCAAGCAATTCTCCTGCCTCAGCCTCCTAAGTAGCTGGGACTACAGGCTCACGCCTCCACGCCCGGCTAATTTCTTGTATTTTTAGTAGAGATGGGGTTTCACCATGTTGGCCAGGCTGGTCTTGAACTCCTGACCTCAGGTGATCCGCCCGCCTCGGCCTCCCAAAGTGCTGGGATGACAGGCGTGAACTTCTGCATTTCTACCATTCCAGGAATAAGGTGCAGCCCCGCCTGGCAGAGGCCCTGCATGGCCCCCACTACCTCTCTGCTCTCGGTCATTGCTACCCCTCCACATCCCCATGCCCCAGCCCCACCAGCTTCCAGCTCTGGACCTGCCAAGCTCTCGCCCTGAGGCCGCTGCGAGGCTGGCATTTCCCCCCGAGACCGCTCTGTCTCCAGTGAGCCCGCTCCCTGCCCCGTCTCTCCATTCTCCTTCTCTGACCCCGCCCGTGTTTGCTGCTTTATATCACACTTCTACCACTTTTTATGATTTCCTTGGTCTGTTTCCTTACCTCTTCTGTCTAGAAAGCATCTGTGGGTATGGAGTGCTCACCCAGGGCCTGGCACACAGTAGGTGCGCCATAAGTAGGCGCTTTGCATAGGGCAGAGAGTGACAGCCCGGAGCCCGCAGGCCAAGCACAGTCCTGCCTTCCAGGATTGTCCGCAGCCACTTTCGGGCCCCAGAAGCAGAGTTGAGGAGTAAGGACAGAGACCGTGTGGCCTGTGAAGCTGAAACTATTTACTCTCTGACCCTTCACAGAAAAAAGGAGCTGAACCCTGGCATAGGTTCTCTCACCTAGACCCACGAGGCAGCCCTGGGAATGCACCGGTGAGCAAGGGCACCAGTGGAGCACATGCCAGCAGGCGTTCAGAGTCCACTGTGGGAGAGCGAGGAAGGGGGCTGGCCCACGGGGGCGGGGGTGAAGAGGGAGAGAGTGGAAAGGCTTGAGGGGTGTGAGGGAGCCACGTGGATATCCAGGCAGAAGGTTCCAGGGAGAGGCCATAGCAAGTGCAAAGGCCCTGAGGCAGGACCATGCCTGGTGTTCATGGAAGCACTCAGAGGCCAGTGTGGCTGGAGAGGGCGGGGGCACGGGGTGCGGGAGGGATGAGGTCAGTGAGAGTGCGAAGCAACTCCATGGAGGACCTTTACTGCAAGTGGCATGGGGCATCGTGCCCGGTCCTGCTATTTTCCAGAGGTTAATTGACTGACTAGAGCCTCACAATGATGGAGCTGGACATGGGTCCCCTCGTCTGAGGGTCAGGTTGGTGATTCTCCATGCCGTCATCGCAGGTCCTCCTGTGGGCCAGTGCCCTGCTTGAAGGGTGATAGCAGGCACCCTAAGATCTCTGTCCACACAGGCTGTGGCCGGGACGGGTACTGGACACACAGACACGTGAGGCATTCCCGGGGCTCAGCCCAGTGAGGTCGGGGCCTCTGGGGACTGGCAGGGCACGTGCGCTTCAAATGGCCAGGGTAGCCCCAGTCCTCTCACAGCCAAGCCCAGCAATGAGCGTGCCTCGAGCTTCGCCCTCTGCTTCACCCAGGCAGCCCAGCGTCGGTTCTGAAGCCCAGCCTTGATGTGAGTGGTGCTCCCTGTTTTATAGGTGGGTGAGCTGAATCACCCCATCACAAAGTGGAGTTTGAAGGGCCACGACCTGGGGGTTCCAGGGCAGCAGGGCCGAGGTTGGGCCTCTTGGTCAGAGGCACAGGCCTGGGTTCTGGCAGTGGCCTCAGCCTGGCTCACTGTGACCTGGGCCTCGGTTGCCTCATCTGTAAACTCGGAGGGCTGGACAAGATTGTCCCTAAGGCCCTCCCACCTCACTGAGCTCTTTCCTCTGCGTTTCTTTTCTTTTCTTTTTTCGGAGACTCGGCTCACTGTAACTTCCACCTCCCAGGTTCAAGCGATTCTCCTGCCTCAGCCTCCCGAGTAGCTGGGACTACGGGCGCCCACCACCACATTCTAATTTTCTGTTATTTTAGTAGAGATGGAGTTTCACTGTGTTGCGCAGGCTGGTCTTGAACTCCTGAGCTCAGGAAATCCACCCACCTCGGCCTCCCCAAGTGCTAGGATTATAGGCGTGAGCCACCGCACCTGCCCCCTCTGCCTTTCCAGAAGTCCCACCTAAGTCACCCACTTTCCGCCCTCTCCGAGTGTGAGGTATAACTCTACCGCAGAGAAGCGGGCAGGGGGAAGCAGGCTGAGAACCCTGTGCCCGTGACTCAGCCTCCCTCCCTCACTAGACCTTGCTGGGGCCTCTTCACAGGCCTGGCCTCCTCCTGTCTCTCTCCCCTCCAGTCCATCCTCTGGAAGTTTCCAGAGAGCACAAAGTATAAACACGACCATGTCGCTCTCCTGCTTAACCACCACCCCCTCCACCCTGGCCCCTTGGGCACTTCCGCCTCTAACCCTCTTCTCATCTCTCAGCGCAGGCCAGAGGCTGAAAACTGGCAGCTGACAGGCAAATGCGGCACCCGGGCCTGTTGTGTGTGAATGCTGGGGCTCGGCCTCTGGTTTGCCTTTGTCCCCACCACTACCTGTTTTTGTTTGTTTTTGAGACAGAGTTTTGCTCTTGTTGCCCAGGCTGTAGCACAATCTCAGCTCACCGCAACCTCCGCTTCCTGGGTTCTAGTGATTCTCCTGCCTCAGTCTCCCGATTAGCTGGGATTACAGGCACGTGCCATCATGCCCTACTAATTTTGTATTTTTAGTAGAGACGGGGTTTCTCCATGTTGGTCAAGCTGGTCTCGAACTCCTGACCTCAGGTGATCCACCCACCTCAGCCTCCCAAAGTGCTGGGATTACAGGGTGAGCCACCGCGCCTGGCCTACTGCCTGTGACTCACTCCTGGCTTCTCCCTACACTATTCTTTATCTGGTCCCCAGAAGTGTCTGACTTAGTGACCGCCAAAGTCTAGTCCTCCAGACCTGCCCACCCCCAGACGCATCCTGCCTCTTCCCAGCTCACTCCTTGTCATCTGCTCCCCTACCGCATCGACATCCCTGTCTCCCTCAGAGCCCAACTCAAAGGTACCCCCAGCACCCCGCCATGTCCTCTTCAGAGCTTCATGCCTGTCTGTTCCATGCATCCATCTACTCCTCACTGCAGTGCGAGCCCCTGACAGGCTGGGGCCAGTTCTTGTTTATTTCTGTATCCTGGCTTCCAGGGAGGTGACTGGCACGGGGGTGGGGTAGAGACCAAGAGATGCAGGAGAGGAAGGGAGAGTGTGAGCGAAAACTCTAAACTCAGCCTGATGGGCAGGCCAAGGCCAAGCCCCTCCGGACTCTAAAGGGCTCCCTGAGAAGGCAAACCTCCTATAGTGCTCCAAGGGCACCTGGCAAAGACGGCAGTACAGGGTTTGCTGCTGGCCACCCTTGAGACCTGCCCGCACGAAAGACGAGACACTCTGGGGAGCCCCTCGGAGTCACCCAGCAATGCCAGTGCAGATGGACGCCCCAGGAGAGGAGAGGACGGGTCAGATGCTGCGAGGGACCCCCATCGGGGCCCAGTGGAGGCTCTGGGTGGACATTCTCAGGACCCCATTCCCAGTAGCCCTGCCCACAGCTCCTGGCTGACCAGCAAGGCCTCTACCTCTCTGGCCTCTGTGCCTCCATTCCCTCCACTAAATCGATGCCTCTTCTTAGTCCCAGGGCTGTCTTAGTCCCAGAGCTGAATGAAGAGGGCCCCCGGGGGGCATTTGCCTCTACGGAGAAAGCCGGGCCTCACCGAACACTTCCCATCGACACAGCAGCCCTCACCAACCTCATGGGAGGTCTGCTGCCCTCCTTAAGGGGAGGAATCCCAGGTACACGGAGGCCTGGGGGCCTCAGGGGATAGCGTTGGTTTCCTCAGCCAGAATCAGGCAGCTCCAGGACCAAAGCCCCTTCAGAAGCCTGCGGCTGGACGAAGCTGGCTGCCCCCAGGGACTCGGAGTGAGTGCAGAAGGCCTGGTGTTGCCATGAGGTCACCAGGAGGGTTGGGACAAGCTCCTTCCCCTCCCTGGGCCTTGGTTTGCCTCTCTGTGAAGTCAGCGGCTTAGACAAGGCAAGCTCTATGCTTCCCCTGACCCTGACATTCAAGGTGTGCACCTGCTCTTAATATCCCAGTGGGACCTGCTGTTGATATGCTGGGCCCCCAAGGACAGGCGTCAGTGATGGAGCCCACCAGCCTTCATGTGAGAGGCAGGTGGGCTTGGTGCGGACCACATACGGCCAAGACCATGTGGGCTTTTGGCGCCGCCTAGTGGGAGGTCCTGGCTCACCGCAGTGCCGGCCCCAGGACTGACCTCAAACTGAGAACCATCCTAACACCCTGTGTCTAGAGCCAGAGGCAAAGCAGAGGTCACCAGGTTGTGCTCTGTCCCCGACCTGGGCTGGCTGCTGAGCCTACACCCCGGGGGCCCTGGACCACCTGCCAGAGTCACTGCATGACCCTGGGCAAGTCATTGTCCCTCTCTGGGCCTCAGTTTGCCCGGCTGTTAAACAAAGCAGAGATGGATGAGAAAATGTCAGGTCCGTTTGAGGAACCCATAGACTGGGGATGTTTCCATGCTGTGCTGGCAGGAAGCAGGGGGCAGCTTACCGATATCTTGGTGAAGACAGACATTAGCAGCGACAGGACTGACAGGTACACGCGGATCCGCTGGCCTCCGTAGCGCTTCTGAATGTACTCAGGTAAGGTGACGATCTGGGGAGGCACATGGTAGGGGATAATCATCCCTCAGACAATGCCCAGCGCTCCAGGCAGGGCCCGCCTCAATCACCTCTCTTTTCGAGCCTCTCAAGGGCAAGGCCCAGGCACTGACCCTTGACAGCCCCAGCACCCGGCCTGGAATCCCAGGTCGCTCTGCTGCATCCTGAGGGTGTCAGGGGAGAGGCATGCTGAGATCCCAAGACTGGCTCTTTAGGGCTGAGATGGAATGGATCGGGGGGCCGTGACTGGGGACAGAGGGACAAGTTTAGAGGATGTTATGACAAATCCAGATGCGCTATGATGAGGCAGGATGAGGGAGGTGGCTGAGAAGGACAGAGCTGAGGACAGGCTGAGAGACAGCCAGGAAGTGGAGTTGACTGGACTTAGTGTCTGCATGGCCAGGGCTGAAGGAGTGAGCAGAATCAAGAATGGTGCAGCCAGGTGTGCGGTCCAGGTGTACAGCCCAGGTGTGAGGCCCAGGTGTGCGGCCCAGGTGTGCGGCCCAGGTGTGAGGCCCAGGTGTGTGGCCCAGGTGTGCGATCCAGGTGTGAGGCCCAGGTGTGGGGCCCAGGTGTGCGGTCCAGGTGTGCGGTCCAGGTGTGCGGCCCAGGTGTGAGGCCCAGGTGTGAGGCCCAGGTGTGCGGCCCAGGTGTGCAGTCCAGGTGTGTGGCCCAGGTGTGCAATCCAGGTGTGAGGCCCAGGTGTGCGGTCCAGGTGTGTGGCCCAGGTGTGTGGCCCAGGTGTGTGGCCCAGGTGTAAGGCCCAGGTATGCAGTCCAGGTGTGAGGCTCAGGTGTGCGGCCCAGGTGTGCAGCCTCTGTGCCCAGCTGGATGGGACATTATTCCAGAGATGCAGCACGCAGGGCAGTGGAAACCAGCCAAGAAGACACCCAGACTAAGGTCCTTGGGGACCTGCCTTAACAGGTTGATAGAAATGTTAGTTGGGCTAACAGCAAGCCCAGGCCTGGGAGTTCACCACTCCTGATGTGAGGCCACAGTGATCCTGCCCGTTACTACCACCAACTTATACAGGCCCAGTGCCCCGGCTGGATGCCCCATGAGTAGACTCACTTCCGAGGAGATGTAGATGGGTACGAACACCCACGCCAGCGCCAGCAGCACGTACGTGGCCTGTTGGGACAGAGGCAGGTGTGGACTGCAGGCGCAGCACCTACAGCTCTGCTGCAGACACACAGCAGGCGTGGCTGGGACAAGCCATCTGGAGGCTGGCTTCCCCCAGCCCCTCCTGACTTGCCATGAGACCCTGGCTGGCTCCTTCCCCTCTCTAGGCCTGGGGCAAGGCCCACAGCTCCCTGCCAGTCATGCCATCCAGCACCTTGGTATTCTGAAGACACGATTTGGCCCAGGAACAGCACTGCACAGAGCCCACCTGGACATCGGCTAACACCAGCCGCTGGGAGCTGCCCCCCTCCAGGGCTGGTCATGGTGACCCCGCACCCTGTGCCCCAGCCCTCCCACAGGCTGCCTGTCCTCCAGGGCTCACATTCCACTCAAAGCCTGCCACGGCCACACCTCCTGCAGCTCCTGAGCCCGCCAGTCCAATGAAGAGGCCAGAGCCCTCGCTGCTGGCGAAGAGAGAGGCTCCGATCTGGAGGAGAGAAAGGGAAACGCATCAGCACAGGCTCACTGTGCCGGCCTAACAGCTTCTCCATCCTCACAAACCTAAGCAGGGTCCTAGCCCCACTTCACGGATGAGGAGCCCAGAGTGTGAGTTCTACCCATGACTAGCTGCACAGCCAAGGAGCGGATGTAAGTTTCAGACTCCAAAGCCCCTGCCCTTTACACTATTTCCAGCAGCTCAGCCCCACGCCCCTCACTTGGGGACCTCCTGCCAGCCTCTGGCCTTCTCCATTGAATTGGACTGGCTCAGAGATGTACATGCCAGCCAACCTGGGTGTAAGACACAGCCCCATGGACAAAGGAGGGGGTGTGAGAAGTCAGGGCGCACTCACCGGCCACCATGTCATGTCCCGGCCTGCCAAGAAGTATCCATTCACCGTGTTCCTGCTGGCCCGACAAGAGGACTGCGAGGACAGAAAGAAGAGGAAGGAGTTGGAGGCTGTGCACTGCTGGGGGGAGTGCAGAACGGGGCTGCTGCAGAAACGGCGTAGCAGCTCCTCAAAAGGTTAAGCATAGAATCACCATATGACTCAGAAGTTCCACTCCTAGGTATATACCCAAAAGCACTGAGAACGCACCTCCACTCAAAAACCTGGACAGGAATGTTCATAGCAGCATCTTTCATAATAGCCAAAAGGGAAAACAACTCACATTTTCATTGACTGATGAATAAACAAAATGCGGTATAGCCTATTTAAAGGAATATTTTTCAGTCTTCAAAACAAATGGAGTTCTGTTGGGTGCAGTAGCCCATGCCTGTAATCCCAGCACTTTGGGAGGCTGAGGCAAGCGGGTCACTTGAGCCTAGGAGTTCAAGACCAGACTGGGCAATATAGTGAGACCCCATGTCTACAAAAAAGACAAAAATTTGCAGGGTGTGGTGGCACACGCCTGTGGTCCCAGCTACTTAGGAGACTGACGTGGGAGAATCACTTGAGCCCAAGAGGTGGACGCTGTGGTGAGCAGTGATTGTGCCACTGCACTCCAGCCTGGGCAACAGTGAAATCCTGTGGCAAATAAAAATAACGAATATCTTGGGAATGAAGCTCTGAGGCATGCCCAGCTTGGATGGACCTTGACAATATGATGCTTCATGAACAGAGACAAACACCAAAGGCCACGACTTGTATGATTCTGTTTATGTGAAATGTCCAGAACAGGCAAATGTATAGAGCTAGGAAGCAGATGAGCGGTTGCCAGCGGCTGGGGAGCAGGAAGAGCAGTGCTGGACTGCTGATGGGGACAGGTGTCCATTTGGAGTGATGAAAATGTTTTGGAGCTAACTACAGGTAATGGTTGCGCAGCGTTGCAAATGTACAAAAGGCCATGAAGTGCACTTTAAAATGGTTAAAATGGGTCGGTCGCGGTGGCTGTAATCCCAGCACTTTGGGAGGCCGAGGCGGGTGGATCACGAGGTCAAGAGATCGAGACCATCCTGGTCAACATGGTGAAACCCCGTCTCTACTAAAAATACAAAAAAAAAAAACATTAGCTGGGCATGGTGGCGCGTGCCTGTAATCCCAGCTACTGAGGAGGTTGAGGCAGGAGAATTGCCTGAACCCAGGAGGCGGAGGTTGTGGTGAGCCAAGATCGCGCCATTGCACTCCAGCCTGGGTAACAAGAGTGAAACTCCGTCTCAAAAAAAAATAAAAAAATAAAATAAATAAAATAAAATGGTTAAAATGATGAGTTGTGTATTATGTAAATTTTATCTCAATTTTTATAAAAAGAACAGATGCAGTCAGTTCCTCGCCCACGTATTCCCACTTGCCTTTTGTTTAGGGGGAGGATAGAATTTTGTCCTCCGGGTAGATGAATAAAAAATCTGCAATCGATATGTCTGGAGGAAAATCCTGTCCTCTCTGCTTCCCGGCTGTGTTACCTTAGGCAAGTTACTAAATGCGTATGCCTTGGTTCCTTCCTCTGTAACGTGGTCCTAAGAAGTTCTTCCTTCATGAGGTTTTTTTGTTTTGTTTTTTGTCTTTTCTGAGAAGGAGTCTCACTCTGTTGCCCAGGCTGGAGTGCAGTGGCGCAATCTTGGCTCACCGCAACCTCCGCTTCCCAGGTTCAAACAATTCTCCTGCCTCAGCCTCCCAAGTAGCTGGGACTACAGGCGCATGCCACCACACCCAGCTAATTTTTTGTATTTTTAGTACAGACAGGGGTTTCACTGTGTTAGCCAGGATGGTCTCGATCTTCTGACCTCGTGATCCGCCCTCCTCAGCCTCCCAAAGTGCTGGGATTACAAGTGTGAGCCATTGCGCCCAGCCTCAATGAGTTTTGCTTTGTTTTGTGTTTTGAGACAGACTTACTCCATCACCCAGGCTGGATTGCAGTGACAGAATCTCAGCTCACTGCAACCTCCGCCTCCTGGGTTCAAGCAATTCTCCTCTCTCAGCTTCTCGAGTAGCTGGGATTACAGGCCCCAGCCACCACACCTGGCTAATTTTTTGTGTTTTTAGTAGAGACAGGTTTAGTTGTGTTGGCCAGACTGATCTCTAATTCCTGACCTCAAGTGATCTGCCTGCCTAGGCTTCCCAACCCTCACAGGGTTTTTATGAGCTTTAATGAGCTAATACATGTAACATGCTGAGAATGCTGCCTGGCATCTGGCAAGTGTTTGATAAGAGTCAGTGAGTATGTGGATTTTTCAAGCCCCCCCTTAGTGCTATTTGGATGGGAGAAATTGAGGTTAAATCAGCCGGGCGTGGCTGGGCGTGGTGTCTCACGCCTGTAATCCAAGCACTTTGGAGGCCAAAGCAGGCAGATCACCTGAGGTTGGGAGTTCAAGACCAGCCTGACCAACATGGTGAAACCTCGTCTTTATAAAAATAAAGAAAGAAAGAAAGAAAGAAAAAAAAAATCAGCCAGGCGTGGTGGCTCATGCCTATAATCCCAACACTTTGGGAGGCCAAGGAAGGAGGGTTGCTTGAAGCCAGACATTCAGGACCAGTCTGGGCAACATAGAGGGACTCTGTCTCTATAAAAAGTTTTTAAAAAATTTAAAATTTAAAAATAAATTTTAAAAATGAAAAAAATAATTGCAGTTCTTGCCATAAAATATAAAATTTAAAAATCTTTTAAAAATGAAAAAGTTTAAAATTAGCTGGGTGTGGTGGTGCATGCTTGTAATCCCATCTACTCAAGAGGCTGAGGTGGGAGGATCACTCTAGCCCAGGAAGTTGAGGCTGCAGTGAGCCGAGATGGCACCACTGCCCTCCAGCCTGGGCTGCAGAGCAAGACTTTGTCTCAAGAAAAAAAAAAAGAAAAGAAAAGAAAACAGAAGAATTTGAAAAGAGGGGCACAGGACAGGTATTTAGATATAGATTTTGTATTTCTTTTCAGAACATACATAAGGCTGGATCACAAAATATACCCATCAATACGCAGGTCTCTTTCTTCCCGACTTTAATTGCCCTGCCCTATACACAACATGATTAGAGTTAATTGTATGGACTCATCATTCAAGGATTTATTTACCTATTTATTATTATTATTTTTTTTTGAGACAAGGTCTCATTATGTGGTCCAGGCTGGTCTTGAACTCCTGGGCTCATGTGATCTCCCTGCCTCAGCCTCCTGAGAAGCAGAAACCACCTGAACAACACCACACCCAGCTTCAGAGCTTCTGATGTGGCTCCTGCCTGTTTCTCTCCAGCTCCACCTCCCGCCACTTTCTCTTTGTGTGCTGTGATCTTGCTGTGCTAAATGCAGCATAGTCTGAAGGCTCACAGTCTCGGCGGGGATGGCCATGTCCAGATGTGTACTCTGTGCACTGCACAACTCCAGAGCATCTCTGATTACAGCCCATGCTTTTTCCTTCTCATCTTTCAAGCCTATAGTGGGCATTGCCATTTGCCTTCTTATATCCATTTCCCTTCCTAAAGGGGCCTCACCTTTCCCAGAAATTGGTTTGTGTGGTCCTGACACAATCTCTGATTCTGGGGACCCGAAGACATCTAAGCTGCAGAGTCTATCACATTCCTTCGCTGTGGTGCCTGGTTCAGGGACAGCCACTCACTTAAGAGGGTGCAGTCGGAGCGCAGCTGGGATTGTATTCTGGCCACCTTGGGGGTGAGCAAAAAAGGTGGGGCTCTGGGGGCTGCTGGCAGTTTCTGGGGGCCACATATACCCATTTAAGGCTCCCTGAGGGTCCCATATGCCAGAGTTGGCTTCAACTGCTTGACCTGTGTGGAGTTCTTAGTCCTCGAAACTGCTCTATAAAGTAGATGCCATGTTACCAGTGAGGAAACTGATGGTCTCAGAGGTGAAAACACACCCATCTAGTAATCCAAACACACCCTGGATTTTAACTCAGGCTCAATCACTGGGCCGGTCATTTCACCTCAGGACATGAGGGGAACTGGGCTTAGGACAGAGCTACACATGGATGGAAGCTGAGAGAACCACAGTGAGGCATAGCTGTATCCTTAATAATGCTGTGAATCCCTGGATCATACTGCACCTGAAGCCCTTTCTATTGCTGGACACAATTACATTGCCTGTGTTCATTTTTTTTTGGAGACGGAGTTTCGCTCTTGTTGTCCAGGCTGAAGTGCAATGGCAGGATCTCGGCTCACTACAACCTCTACCTCCCAGGTTCAAGCGATTCTCCTGCCTCAGCCTCCCGAGATGCTGGGATTAGAGGCGTGCACCACCACAACTGGCTAATTTTTGTATTATTAGTAGAGATGGGGTTTCACCACATTGGCCAGGCTGGTCTCAAATGCCTGACCTCAGGTGATCCACCTGCCTCAGCCTCCCGAAGTGTGGGGATTACAGGTGTGAGCCACTGTGCCTGGCTCATTTCCTGTATTTTTTTTGAAACAGAGTTTCACTCTTGTTGCCCAGGCTGGAGTGCAGTGGTGCGATCTTGGCTTACCTCAACCTCCACCTCCTGGGTTCAAGCGATTCTCCTGCAGCCTCCCAAGTGGCTGGGATTACAGGCATAAGCCACCACACCCTGCTGATTTTTATATTTTTAGTAGAGACGGCCATGTTGGCCAGGCTGGTCTCCAACTCTCGACCTCAGCTGATCCAACCACCTGAGCCTCCCAAAGTGCTGGGATTACAGGCGTGAGCCACTGTGCCCAGCCTCATTTGCTGTATTAGAGCTCATTTGAAAGTGGTTTTCTGTCACTTGTTAACAGATACCTTAATGAATGCAAAGGCTCAGCTCAAAGTCGCCTCCTCTGGGAACATCTCTTCCTTAAAGGCCCTCCCCTCGACTCTCCCAGGCCCACCATCTAAACATCTTGGCAGAGCCGCACCTGCCCGGCTTGCTCTGCCTGATTCTCCCTATGGGATGCAGCTCCAGCATCCTCCCTGTCTGGTTCTGATCTTTTCTGGATGTGCTCACTGCTCTCTGGCCAGCTGCTCCCAGCTAACCCACCCTGGCCTGCTTGGAGGGACAGGGCAGAACCCCCACAGCCCTACTGCCCGGGGCATCAGCCTGCAAACAGCAAGGCTGAGCTGGGAGAGGTGGGTCACAGGCAACAAGGGCTGGCGGCCCAAGTTACTGGGCTACTAAGAGCCTGGCATCAGCTGCCCAGAACATCTTTCTTTTTCTTTTGAGACAGAGTATTGTCCAAGCTGGAGTGCAATGGCACCATCTCAGCTCACGGCAACCCCCGCCTCCCGGGCTCAAGCAATTCTCCTGTCTCAGCCTCCCGAGTAGCTGGAATTACATGCACACACCACCATGCCTGGTCAATTTTTGTATTTTTAGTAAAGATGGGGTTTCACCATGTTGGCCAGGCTGGTCTCGAACTCCTGACCTCAGGTGATCCACCAGCCTCAGCCTCCCAAAGTGCTGGGATTACAGGCGTGAGCCACCACATCCGGCCCAGAGCATCTTTCTTAGATGTGCACTTCCAACTAAATCCCACCCTGTGCTAGCCAGGACAGCTTTGTCTCCCCTCCTGTTTCCCTCTTCAGAGCTTGTCTGGCTCTTACCTCCTCTCATGCAGAAAGCCTCCGCTGCCTGTTCTATCCCATGTGGGAACCTCCTCCTCTGAATTCTAGCCACCAACTCTCACAGGAATATAGCACATTGCAGTTTATAACAGACTTTCACTTCCATTGGCCCCTTGCTCCTTGGAACAGCCCTGAGACGCGGGCTGCACAGAAACCTGCATTGCGTGTTTGAGGAAACCGAAGCCCACAGAGGCTGAGTGACTTTACTTAGGTACGCAGAGCAGAGCCAAGACTAGAGGTCAGCTTCACTGGTGGCCAGCACTGGGCTACTTGCGAGTTAATATTTACTCACATACAGGCTGAGGAGCCCTTATCCGAAATACTCGGAACCAGAAACGTTTTGGGCTTCGAATTCTTTCAGACCTGGGGATATTTGCAGAATACCTGCCAGTTGAGCATCCTCGATCCAGAAATCCTGAATCTGAGATGCTCCAGTGAGCATTTCCTTGGAGTATCATGTTGGTGTTCAAAATGTTTCAGATTTTTAAAATTCAACCTGTAATAATTAATTTTAACTACTGTGGCTTCTACCATTATAACCACCACTGCCACAACCACCGCCACCGCTACCTCCGTAGAGCTAATGGCAGCAGCAAGGCCTGGTCCCATGTGGGCCTCCTGATGGGAGATCTCACCCCAGGTAGGTGGTGTCTCCATGTCACTGATCAAAACACCAAGGCCCAGAAAGCTGAGGGGATGTGACCAGTCTCCTGTTTGCCAGGCCTTCGGGCTTAGGCCAGGGGTAACGGAAGATAAGAAGGGGCACTCATTCTTCCCAGGGCTCAGGGACTCTGGCCTGGGGACCTCTGGGGCCAAGGAAGTGTAGCGCAACCTCCCCAAGTGCTAAGCATGGAGCAGGTGGCCTGGACCAGGCTGTGTCCACCTTCCCTCAGAAAGGCCTCCATGATCGACCCAAGGAGAGCCCTCCCCTCACTGCAGGGCCACAACCTCGGCTTCTCCATCTGCACACAGGACGGCCCGTCCCCAGGGACACCGTTGCCCCTGGAATCTGTGCATGGGATCAGATCACTTTTCACTTCTCACTCTTATCAAGGGAGAAAGAGCCAGCTTAGGATCTAGGGCTAGGCCACAGGACATGAATCCCCAGGGAGCTTGTTAAAAATCAAGGTCCCCAGCTCCGGGCCCTCCCTGCCTCCAGATTCTGATCCAGAAGCTCTGAGGTGCAGCCAGGGAACCCCTGGGAGCCTACTGCTCGGGCAGACGGGAGACACTTACACCGTGGAGACTGGGACCAGGAGGCTGATGGGCCAAGCCCAGGGACTCCAGCTGGGCAGCAGCATGAAAGCCCAGTTACTTGTTAGAGAGACCTTCCTCCTCCTCACTTTGCCATTACCCAAAGAGAGAAAGGGCTTGGTCAAAGTCTCCAAGCAAATCTACCCCAGGCCGGGAGGAGGACCACAGTGGGACCACTGCTGACACCACAGGGACATGCTGAACCCCGGTTCCCACCATAAGCACCCACCCTGAGAGCCCAATTGGCCTCCCCGACAGTTCCCCTTACCCATATGCCCACGGCCACATTCAGAGCAAAATACACGGTGATGACGATGATGTCAGCCACGCTCAGCTGCGTCCCGGGAGCGTGGAGGTCGCTGGTGGCGTTGGCGGCCATGGCTGTCCTGCCGCAAGCACCAGGTCCGAGCCAGAGGGACTGAGGGGCAAACCAGGTCAGAAAGGGCTTCCTGGCAGGGAACTAATTGATCATTAAACCGAGCGGGACAGTGGCATCTCCAGCCCACGATGTGGCTGCATGCAGGGCAGCTTCATCACGGTGTAGCTCGTCTTCCTCACCCCGTGGTGGGGAGCAGATCGCAGAGTACAGAAGTCAGGGAAGCTAGGAAAAGCCAGTGGGAGGAGGAGAGGAGGGAGCCTCCTTGAACTTGGAGGGGACTTGGGGGAAATTAACTGCATTTAGTGGACCGAGAGGCAACCTGAATAGTCCCAGAAAGGCTGGGTTGCTTAATGGGTGGCTTCACCTATATCTAATTTGTATAAGAAGCATAGAGCATTGGGATGAACGCCTCACTGCTGAAGACACAGCCGTGGAGGGCAGCCGTGTTCTCCCTTGGCCACCGGGCAGTGAGTGGACGGAGCACGTCTTGGGAGGGTGACTCCTGCATATGTTTCACTTCCAGCCATGACAGCCCAGGCTCAGAGACAGCTCCATGTTGGACAATACAGTCCTGCTGCCAACGTTTCTGCTTTTTTTCAGACCAGTGAAACAGTCCCAAGCCCCTCAACTTGACCAACTGTTCGGCACCCCGCCCCCAAGGTCTGCCTGGGACCACAGAGGGACCCAAGATCTGTCAAACACCAAGGACCGTACATGGCTGTTCTGCCCATGATCCCATTTCATGCTTACAGCCGCCACGCCAAGTAGGCAATGTCTCATTCGAGTCTAGGAAATGGCCATCTGCCTTTACACAGCCAGTGAAAGGGCAGAGCAGGATTCAATGCAGAAGTGGCCCCACCGTCGCCACCGCAGTGACAGTTCCATTTGGATTCCATCGGTGGGAAGCTCCCTCACTCATTCTATCAGTGTACACAGCAGGGCTGGCTGGCAGTCTCACCTCTGCTCAGTGACATGACTCATGACTTTGCAAAGCATTCACAGTTTAACCAGATACGCAGCACTTCCAGAAGTGTTAATGAGTGAGCAGCTGCCACCAGGAACATGCTGGCCCATAAACCCCGCCGGCCTGTTACTCGATAACCCTGAGATGCAGGTAAAAATTAATTTCCTCGGCCAGGTGCGGTGGCTTATGCCCTTGGAAGGTTCATGTCTTTAGGAAGCTGAGGTGGGCGGATCACCTGAAGTCAGGAGTTTGAGACTAGCCTGCCAACATGGCAAAACCCCATCTCTATTAAAAATACAAAAATTAGCCAGATATGGTGGCACACTCCTGCCATCCCAGCTACTTGGGAGGCTGAGGCAGGCAAATTGCTTGAACTCGGGAGGCAGAGGTTGCAGTGAGCCAAGATTGCGCCACTGCACTCCAGCCTGGGTGACAGAGGGAGACTTCATCTTAAAAAAAAACACAATTAATCCCCTCACACACAGGACTAGGCAAAGGAAGGGGAAAAGGAAGTTACTGCTGAGAAAACCCTCAGCCAGGCTCCATTGCCAGCCTGCCATCTCCCCATGCCTCCAGCCAGCCAGCCTCAGATGGTATTGCTCAAAATGTTATTAAAATAAAAAAAGTCTGCTTTGCACTGATCAGAAGGACGCAGCTGAAAGGATCCAGACGTATCCAATCTATCTCATTCAGACAGAATAGTTCCACCAGCGGCATTGGCTCTGAGACCCTTGGCTAGGTCTCAAAGAAATAAACCACTTAGTGATAACTGCCGCCATTGGACCGAAAGTCCTAGGGATTTTTTGCCACTGAGTTTAAAGGGAAAACAAACGAAAAATGACAAAAATCCTAGGGAAAGAGAGCACCAGTAAAGGTGCTCTCAAGGGGCAGAGACTTATTTGCTGGTTCTGCCCTGAAGGACGGGGACAGGAAGAGGGTGGCAGCGGAGGACATAGAGGGAGGAATACCAAACAAACCCGGTCATGTCTGCGGGGACGAAGTGCCACCCAGAGCCCAGTCACACCCACATTCCCACCCCACCCAACCCAGCGGGATCACCTGTTCCACTCACCCCAAGAAAGATGGAGAGCGTCCTAGCTGAGAAGTCATCTCTGCCACACCCCTTTAATCCCTAGAAGAAGTCCCTCAGACTCATGAGAACCAGAAACAAGGTTGGGCGTGGAAGCTCACGCCTGTAATCCCAGCACTTTGGGAGATCAAGGCAGGAGGATCATAAGGTCAGGAGTTCAAGACTAGCCTGGCCAATTTGGTGAAAACCCACCTCTACTAAAAATACAAAAACTAGCCAGGCGTGGTGGCACGTGCCTGTAGTCCCAACTACATGGGAGGCTGAGGCAGAAGAATCTCTTGAACCCAGGAGGCGGAGGTTGCAGTGAGCCGATATTGTGCCACTGCACTCCAGCCTGGATGATAGAGGGAGACTCCATCTCAAAAAA